GTAGAGAGCCAGTTTTTCCAGCACCATTTGTTAAAGAGGCTTTCTTCCAGTGAGTATGTTTGGCCCCTTTGTCAAAGATAAGGTGGCTGAGTGTGTTTGTAGGGGCTTCAGTGTCTTCTAATCTATTCCATGTATCCTCAGGTCTATTTTGTTGCCAGTACCATGCTGATTTTATCACAGTAGCCTTGTAGTATAATATCAAGTCCTCTCTGACTCTTAACTCTCTCTGCTCTCTGGTTGCCACAAGGCCAGCTGCTTTCCTCTGCCCAGGCCTGCGGCAATGAAGCTAGCCAATTATGGATTGAGACTGTGAGTCCAAATAAATCTTTTCTCTTTTAAGTTGCTTCTCACAATTATTTGGTCCCACAGAAAAAAGTCTAACTAACCTGACCTCCCTGGCCTCCCTGGGCTGCAATGTGCTTGAGGCGTTGGCTCACACTTTCCTGTTCTGACGCATTCACACACCTCTGTATCAAAACTTTTTAAATTGGTCTCCAGTTCTCTCTGGTGGTACCAGTCCACATTCTCAGAGTGCCTTGTCGCCATGCCTCGAAAAATTGAGGAAATCAAGGATTCTCCCCTCACAGCGAGGGGAAAGGATGCCAAGTCTGCCAAGATAAAGGAGAACAAAGACAAGGTTCTATGCAGCAGATATCTTTATACCTTGGTCATCACAGACAAAAGGCAGAGAAGCTGAAGCAGTCATTGCCCCCAGGCTTGGCAGTAAAGGAGCTGAAATGAGCCAGCCAGACTGATATGAAGTATATTAAAAAGCTTCAAAACTCAAAAGAAAAGAAACACTTTTCAAATAGACATTTGGTTTAAATCACAAAACATGTTCCTTTTTTATCAAATCAATAAAAACAAAACACAATTTCTATCTTTTTTATGATTAGACTTGTGTATGTTAACTTTCCTCATAAACTAAATTATTATTATTGTTAATATTATTAAATTTTTTGGTCTTTTTGAGGCAGGGTCTCAATATGCAGTTCAGACTGGCCTTTGTAGCCCAGGCTGGCCTCAAACTCACAGCAATCCTCCTGCCATAGCTTCACAGGTACTGGAATTACAGGTGTGCACTACCACTTCCAACAATTAAATGTATTCTAACCTTATTGTGATTTGAGGCTCAGAGGATTGATTATACTGTGGCTGTGAGACCTTTTAAAACTGAACAAGTCCTGAAAATTATTGAAAGAATTTTTTCCTTGCTGAAAGAAAGACCAACCCAGTTTCTGGGGTTTTTTTGCTTTGTTTGCATTCTGGACATAAATTCAACTGTACTCCATAAAGTGTATTGTGTGTGTGTGTGTGTGTGTGTGTGTGTGTGTGTGTGTGTTACCAGGAATGGAACTCACAACCTCACATTTGCTAGGCAGGCACTGTGCCACTGAGCTATATCCTTCGCCTCCTGGTCTTAATGAAAATTAGGATTTCTGACAAAATGAAGAAGCAGATATCTGTAAAGGAAAAGACAAAAGACAGCCTCTGTTTTATGTATGATATCTGTACATGTGCTCGAAGAGCTTGGAATCAGTCATTCTTTTGGTTTGTTTGCTTCCTAATCCATTGTTCTTTCTCCTTCCTCGGAGACCTTCATTGGTTTTTGTTTTTGCTTTTTTGGGGGGCGGGGGAGGCCTGGCTCCGAATGCCTTCAGGGCAGGTTTGGCTGGCTTGAGTTGTGGGGATCAAACCGCAGCAACCTGAGCCTGACTGCTTTGTTGAAACAGCCACTTAAAGAACTGAGCTAAGGGGCAGGCCCCCTCCTTCTTGGTTTTACTGAGGAACCTAGTGCTCAGGAAAATGCAACATTGTCATCATGTCAATGTACCAGGCAGAGTTCTAGGTTCTAGTTGTAATTTTGTTATGGTTTGTGTATAGGTGTCCCCCACAAAGCCTCATGCAGTCTTCGGGTGGGCTCTGGAGTTTGTTTTTTGCGGAACCGGGGATTGAACTCAGGAGCTTGCGCGTACCGGGGAAGTGCTTATTCCACTGAGCCATCTCCCCCGCTAGAGTTCTAGGTTCTAGAAGGTTCTTTCTGCCTTGATCCGTGGCAGGGGTGCAGGCTGAGAGGAAGAAGTAACTTGAGAGGAGAAAGAGCTTGCCCTCTGCTCCTGTCAGTCCCCACTGCACAAGCACCCACGCACCCACACACGTGTGTCGGATTAAGCAGCTGGGAAGTCAGGTGTGAATATAAGGGGCGGACAACAGTCAGGAGCACTCAACCAGCCAATCAGAGTGCTGCCTGCCTCACACCATGTGGGGCTGGCCAATGAGAATGTGGCAAGATCTGTAAAGGTGGGCCCTTTCTGCAGCTTGGGCCTTGGTGGAAACCGGCAGGATGGCTCGCACGAAGCAGACTGCGCGAAAGTCAACGGGTGGCAAAGCTCCTCGCAAACAGATAGCTATCAAGGTGGGCCGTAAGACAGCGCCAGCCACCGGGGGCTTGAAGAAGCCGCATCGTTACCGGCCTGGTACTGTCGCCCTGCGCGAGATCCGCCGCTATCAGAAGTCCACTGAGCTGCTGATCCGCAAGCTCCCGTTCCAGCGCCTGGTGCGCGAGATTGCTCAGGACTTCCACATTACCCTTCGTTTCCAGAGTTCGGCAGTGATGGCGCTGCAAGAGTCCTGCGAGTCCTACCTAGTGGGGCTCTTCGAGGACACCAATCTATGTGCCATCCATGCTAAGCGCGTTACCATCATGCCCAAGGACATCCAGCTCGCGCGCCGCCTCCGTGGAGAGCGGACCTAGTCGCAAGTGTGCCCCCAGTACCCTGTCATCGCCCCAAAGGCTCTTTTCAGAGCCATGCACTAAATCAGAAAGAGTGGCTGTAACGTGATTCTCAGGCCCCAAAACTGGCTTGCGCCCTTCTCAACTGCTGGTTACTCTTGAACTTGCACGTGTAATTTGGCCTGTGGCCCGCTAAGAGAGCGAACCAGTCATTCCATTGGTAACTCACCTTATTTAGGCTAGAAAATGTCATGCTGTGAGTATAAACACAAACTGAGTTTATGTCCAATTACTGTGAATCAGGCAGTTTGCTTGTGAGCTGTATGCTGAATGTGTTTCCAATTAAGAGATGCAGTCATCTGAGTTGTTACCTTCACTGATTTCCAGACAGTGGGCCAGAACGTGTGCTTTGTTAACTCCAATTTTCATTTTTTAATCTTGTGTGAACTCAGCCCGTCCCTATTTGTAGTCCTGCTAGTTAAGTGTGTTACTTTTACACAGGTGCTGATAGGTTCAGAGGGTGGTTGGTGTGTGTGTGTGTTTTCACACTTCTCTAGTAAAAGGTCTAGTGAATATTGACAAGACCTAAGTGAAATCAACATTGGAAAATCCTGATTAAAGTTCAGAAAGACATTGTGCCCTAGAAGTTACATCAGTTAAGTGTCACCAGTTTTGATGACTCACTGGTCCAACACTGAAATGGGCTTCCCAAGTTACAAAGTAGAATGGTGGTTTCCTAGAATGAAAGGGGTAGGAGACTAACTGGCTGAGAAATCCCACAACTGGGGATAGGGACTGCTAAATCCAATGATGGCAATGACCTTAAGCATAGTGATGGTGAGAATGTAAGGATTTTTACTCCTTTGCCAAGTATTGGGATCATTTATATATTAAAGTCTTTATTAAACGCACAGCCTAAAAAATAAATTCATAGCCTATTGCCAGAAATGCAGTGAATTAAGTTTTTTTCTGTTGCTGCCCACTGTGGTTTTGTTTTTTGTTTTTTAATTTTTAGTTTTTGGCGGTACCAGGGATCGAACTCAGGACCTTGCGCTTGCGAGGCAAGCACTTATTCCACTGAGCCATCTCCCTGGCCCCCCACTGTATTTTTACAGTGCTTATTAATTGAAGAGCTGTTGTAGACAGAAGCAACAGTGGGAACGCATGCTTAGAAAGAGCAAGGGGTGATAATATCACCAGTATGCAACTGTGAATTTATGAAGCTAATTTATACAAAGTGATGTATATCCTGTTGATTCAAAATTCAAAAGCTTCATGAGTTAAATTAGTACATATGGGGAAATCATCTCTTTTTAAATGTAAGGATGTATAAATTAAAGGGGGATTTCTTGGGAGCTAACCAAAACACTTATGAGGACCACTTTGTTCTAATTTTTTTTAATGTATTTGGTACAGGGCCTCACTACGCAGCTCAGACTCAGTGACCCCCTATTTTCAGCCTCCCCAGTGCTGGGATTATAGGTGTAGACCATGTCTGGTCTCAGTGGCCAGCTCAACATGCCCGTGGGCAGGGCTGGAGAGGCATGTGGTGCTGGGGATTGAACCCTGGTCCCTGCTGTTCTGACTTTGAAAGCTCTGACCTTCATCATTAAGCTAAATTCATCTGGCTATCATTCCTCTTCATGAAGTCCCTATCTTGGCAACCTTTGCCTCAGTGAAGAGCTAACCCTAGGGAACTTTGCTGGATGGCACTGGGAAGAAGAGATTTGGGCAACTAACTCCATTCAAGTAAACTGGATGCATTTTAGCATGGTATGATTTCTCAGCCAGTTAGTTTCTTTCTTTTCCTGGGAGGGCCAGCCCCTTGAGGAAGGGATTCCTATCATCCTGTTATTCATATCCAAAAGAATTTGGCCTTGTATATTCCACTTAACATGTTGTTTCCACAATTCAATTGAAAGAGCAGTGCATGAATGAGAAGAGATGAGTATGTGAGAGCCGATTTGTTGAGGACTAAGATGGAGAAAAGCTAAGTAGCAAGGATACAAGAAGAAAGCAACCCATATTCTTCTGAATCATATGCCTGAGTACTCAGGGAAGCCTTCCCAACACACATTCCAAGTCACATGTTGAAGGGCTACAACTCTGCACTCAGCAAAAAAGTGTTCTGGCATTGCCCCCCGCCCCCCATACCAAAAATAAAACAGGACCGACAAAGCCAGGCACGTGGGTTTGCAAGCAAATTAACCTGACTGGTCTTCAGGTGACTCCTTGACTCCAGGGTGCCCACACCTGGGCAGAGTGGTTGCCAGCAGGAATATGCCAAGTGGGCACCAACGTGTGATGCCATGATCTCTGGAGTCTCAGCATCGCTGGGATAGCTCAGAAATGCTTCCCAAATACAAAGGAGTACTACCATCTGGTGCAATGCAATCCAGTGAATTTTTATTAAATGCTTTCAGGTGTCTATCATGAAAACCAGTTTAATCTCTTACCTAGAAATATGTTATTTTGTAAAACTATTGAGACTTGAACCTTCATCTGTGTGTATCAAACCAGTTGTAATGATGCACTATGGGCCAACCTTAGTATGGAGTGTTTGCATGCATAATGACTTGTTCTACTAAGGATCAAAGGCTGAAATTCTAAAGTTAATAGGAAGAAAGGAAGCCTGGGCACTGAGGATAGCAGATTATGCCATTCCAGAACATGACAGGAATAGGATTACTCTGGGCTAAAAACATCTAAAAAACCAGCAGCTGCAACACAACATGCTCACCTTCCTTTTTCCTCCTGAAAGCAAGAGATGAAACTCCCAAAGATACCTTCCCAACACCAAGGGAATGGCAGTTTTTACAACCAGAGATGGGCACTCCAAAGTGACAGACATCTGTATAGACAGTCCTGGTTAGATGTTTTTAATCCTCAATTAGCCTCCTTAGATGTTTTAGTTTCTTCTTTACAGAGTACTGCTCTTCTTACATCAGAAACATGTGCATAGGCCTAACTTGGGTCTTCATTTTTCTATGAGGCTCCCTTGCACATGTGAAAGTGTAGTTTATCTCATTTTCCCCTATTAATCTATTTTAGGGCTGGCCAGATAGCTCAGTGGATTAAAGCACCTGGTTAGGCAGACACAGAGCTGGGGTTCAATCCCCTGGCATGCCATGTCAGCCCTGCCCCCAGGGCGCGCTGAGATGGCCATTGAGCCTTGGCATGGTGGCATGCACCTGTAATCCCAGCACTTGAGAGGCTGAAAAACAGGAAGGATCACTACAAGTCTGATCTGTGTAGTGAGACCCTGTAGGTCCTGTACTAAATACATAAAAAATAAAAATCTAATCTTTTCTTGAGCAATTGTAGTTGTTATCACAAATAGTGGGTGGCTTATAAACAGCAGAAAACTGCTGCTTATCATTCTGGCATTTAGAAGTCAAAGAGCAAGGCATAGAAGATTCTGCCTGGTAAGGGCTGTTTTCTAGGTCACAGTCAGCCTTTGTGTCCCTACAAGATGGAGGGTGAGGGATTCTCTGAGAATCCCTCTAACAGCACTGATTCACTCATGATGCACCACCCTCAGGAATTCATATCTGCACCCCACTGCTCATGCTATCTCTTTGGGCGTATAGAGTGAGGATTGTAACACAGTAATTTGGGGGATACAAACATTCAGACCATAGAATAAACCAACCTAATTCTCAGGTACAGCTAGAAACACAAAGAATGAAGTGTTGCCTCCCCTATAGCGCAATCTGGCCACAAGCTAGAGGAGAACTACTCACACAGACCAAACAACATATTTGACTGGGAAACATATGCATGAACTAAAATTCTAGTGAAACTCAAGAGTATCATGTTTCTAGTACTCAACACAGCAGTTAATTGCAATGGGGCAGGGAGCAGGGTGCTTCAAATGTACCTATGGTCTCGGTCTTCAACCGGCCAGTGGCTCAGGTTGTGAATTTTCTCATTGTTGGTCTTATACCTAATATGTCCTGGGTCATGCATTTATTAATAAAAGGAATATAAGAAACTGTATGTGCCTACCTGTGTCATGAGACTTTATTCACTTCAAGGGCTGTAAATATTACATATATGCATATATAAATATATAGTTATATATTTATACATATGATATTTAATCCCTGAAACTGAAGAATCTATCAAGGGAATAAAAAATTTTTCTGGATATTTGCCAAAATTTGGAAGCAACCAGTAGTCAACTGGATAAACTAGGGTACATCCTGACAATAGAATATTACTTATCAACAAAGAGAAATGAGCCATAGGACCATGAAAAGCCATGAGGAAATCTAAATGCACATGAAGAGAAAGAAGTCAGGCTGAAAAGGCTACATTCTATGTGATTCCAATCATAGAACATTATGGAAAAGGTAAAATAATGAGTAGTTACAGAGTAGGGAGGGAAGATGACCATGTGAAATATGGGGAACTTCCCAGGTAGTGAAACTTCTCGACACTAGAATGGTGGACACATTGCCACCAATCCAGTATCAGATGCTAAGAGTATCTGACATGGCCCTGGTGTCAGCCATGGATGCTGAATGAAGATGACAAGTCACATAGGTTCATCTGCTATAACAACTGGCTCCCTCAAATGGGAGATACTGGCAAGACGCAAGGAGTAATGGGAAATCTGTTTCTTTCTCTCAAATTTGTTGTGGCTCCAAAACTGTTCTAAAAAATAGTTTTGTTTTCTGATTTAGAAGCCCCACTGACAGACTATGAAGGGTAGGACCTGATGGCACTCTGAGGAGGGTATGGGACATCAGCAACTGATGCTGCCATTGACTGAAGCACAGGAGGATTCTAGGTCCGTTGACACTAGGGGCCAACTCCAGGTGGGGGCCTGTATCAATCAATGCTTAGTAGATACACTGATAATCTTAATACAAGGCATACAAATACTAAGACAACAATGTGCAATGTATTTATTATTGAAACTGTCCTGATTGGTTTTGAAAGTGTCTCATTGCTATTTGTTTCTCAATAAAATTATTTTTAAAAAGACATACAAATATATAAGAATTTACAAGATTAACTTGCAATGGCCACCCACAGAGTTGGATGTGGAAGAATGCAGCGGATCTGTCTGACTACTGGGACTCTGAAGGACCCAGTCAAAGGCCTGGAGCTCACTGTAGTGTTGCATGCAAGTCTTTATCAGCAGGCTGAAGAGTCTGTCCTGGAAGTCAGGAAATGCCATTCAAGGTACAGATGAAGACTAGAACTCCTCTGAAGAAACAGAGGTCATTCTTCTTTGTTTCCCTTTTATTCTGTTCTGGTGCTAATGCTGTATAGGGTGAGTCTTCCACACCCAGAACAATACCGAGTAAATTTAGTTGAGTCTTTCCTACTCAAGTCGATACAATCAGTTATCACAGGGTGCCAGCTCTCCCCATGCCCTCTCCAGCAGCAGACTTCCCTGTCCTGGGGCCCTCCTGGGGTCACTACCTGTGATGCTTCCTCCATTCCCTGGTGGGAAGACACACTCTGAGCTGGCCTATGGTCCTGTTGGCCTGGTGGGATTGTATTGCTTAACACTTGGTGAGCAACTGGCATATCTGCTGCCTGCCTGTCAGGCCCGAACTGTGTGCCTGGGACCTCAGAATGTGACCATTTGAAATGGTGCACATAAGATAAAGCCTGTCTCAGTTATTTTTTATTTGTTGTTGGGAAAAAATATCTGACAACCAAAATTAAGAAAGGAAAAGTTTATTTAGCTTACGGAGGAGGTTTTAGTTTACAGTTTGTTGGCTCTAAGGCAGACTGGCACACAGCAGAGAGCAGCAGTTTATGGTGGCAGAAAAACAATAAAGAGCAAAGGGAGAAGCAGCAGCTGTGGCATCTACTCTCTCTCTCTCTCTCTCTCTCTCTCTCTCTCTCTCTCTCAACTGCAAAGACAAACCCCTCAGAGGAAGTACCACACAGAATCTTTTTTTTTTTTTTTTAAATTATATCTTTTTTTGTGCTGAGTCACTCTAGGGCAGGCCCTCCACACCCTAGGGCATGGAGTCACTGAGCCAATCTACCCAAGCTTTTAACTTCTAAAGTTGACACAATACATTAACCACCACAAAACCCTAATGCGACATGACTGGAGTTGTCATAAGAGAAGAGGACAAACAAATGGCTGTGTGAGGACACAGGAGGAAGACAGCATCTGCAAACCAAGCAATAGGAGCTCACAGGACCCAGCCCTCTTCCCAGGTTTCTTAACCAACCTGAGCAAACTAACATGCTATCTTTACAACTAAAATGAGCACTTGGAGAGTTTTTGTATGCTTGACATCGTTTTAGCCATGTTATGCAAAGATATGCACTCCATGCCAGAGTCAATATTACCCCAGGGACTTGTATCTTTCCTTGGGGACCCTCTGCCTGTTATAGCATAGGTAACACATCCAAATCTACTTGTATATCCATCTTTTTGGAAAGCTCTTTCCACTCCAAAGGAATATTCACCCTTTCCTTCTAATTTTCTGTATTTTAGGAAACTTTGACATCTGACTGCAGGGTACCCCTACTCCTGGTCTACACAACACCCAGGGACAATAAACAACCCATCAGGATTTTCAATTTTATAATCAAACTTGCTGTGTTAGCTTCCTATCACTACAACAAAATAATTCAACTATCAATTCAGACGAAGGAAAGATTTATCTTGTCGTTTGCATAATTTCCGAAGACCCAGTCCTGGTTGCCTAGCTCCACTGTTTTGGGGCTGTTGTGGGGCAATAGTCACAAGACTCACCCCTTCAATGTAGCACCACAATGACTTAATTCCCCTTCACCAAGCCCCACCTCCTACAGCACTCCCCCCAGCCCCCCCCCCGTCCCCGTCCCCTCCCCCCCATCCCCCCGCCCCCCGACCACGTAGGAAAGCAAGATGTTGTCTGCACCCAAAACCAGGCTGTCAATACTTGCACGCACTGGACAGAGCAGACCGTTCTGCTTCAGCCTGTTTCCCATTTATTCTCTCCAGGGTTAGGGTTACAGTTAGGATCAGGGTTAGGGTTAAGCCTGGGGAATGCTATGGGCAGCACCTAGGCCAAAGATACCTGTGCAAGGTAAGAAATTTGTCTACCTGCCCAGGTTTGCCCTCCCTCCCGGCCGGTGCGCCAAGACCCATGCCTGTCTCAGACTAACGACTCGGGCGCTGCCGAGCTGGAAGGCAAAGTGGCGCGACCCCGCCCCGTCCTGCAGGTCTAGCCAGGAGGAACCCCTCCTCCCGCCCCACCCCCGCCCGCCTCTCTTTTCCAACCCTGCCTCGCTGACGCCACAAAGGCGAGTCCCAGCTGACTACATTGCCCCAGCTCCAAGGCGCACTCCCAGCCTCTCGATCTCTGGCAGTCCCGGCTCCCAGAGCCCCTCGCAGCGTCCTCCCGCCTCAGTCGCCACGCTGACCTGGGTCACCGGGATGAGCCCACACGGACAGAGAGACAACCCCCGGGACTAGGAGACGGAGCCCTAGGGCCCAGGGCATACAGCCACCTGTGTGTGCTCATCTGTAGAGAGCGCGGCCTCTCTGGACGCTGTATTTTAGGGGTGTGCAGGGGCAGCATTTGAAGTTTAGAGTTGAAACCCTCCCCTGACCGGCCCCTCAATGACCCCGGGAAGTAAAAAGGGGAAGGCCGAGGGTCTCCACTGTGCACGGATGCAGTGAGTATACAGACTCACCTGTGACCACAGGTGTCTGTGCATGCATGCATGTTTGTGTGTGTGTTTGCATGGGTGCACACGTGCATCTGTATATGTGTGTGCAAGCTCATGTTTGTGTGTGCCTGTATGTATGTGCACTGCATGTACATTTGTGCACCCCCATGTAGGTGTTTGTGTGTGCACCTGTGTGTTCATAGTTTTGTGCCGCTGCATGAATGGTCTTGTGTCATCCCTATGCTGTACCTCCCTTCCTACAGGAGAAAAAAAAAATCACTTTCCCTCCTTCCCTATTTTCTTCCATTGGCTGAAGTTTAAGAAAGGTGTTCTGAAACTTGTTAAAAGGTTCTCCATCTGAGCTTCTTGCAGTGGGAATGTCACCCTAGGGCAGGGATGGGGTTCATGGCCTTGGCCAACGCAGCTGGAGACAGAGAGGAAGCTTGGAGGGAAGGAGACTTCTCCCTGAAGATCTAGCAGGTGTACAGGGTTTAGGCTTCACAGGAGGAATGAGGATGTGGTCAGGTGTCCAGCAAGCTGATGGCAGGGTGGGGCCTCGGCCATGCTTGTGCACAGCCAGAGGTGCCTGGTTGCATCTGGTCAAAGGGTCTTTGTGGTTTCCAAGAGGCATTTCTGCCTGTTTTAGCAAAACTGAAGGAGACAGTGTGGGCCCCTAACACAATACTCTGTAAGCCTTCAGAGCCTAGGTCTGGGGTTCATGGCTAACTGTGAGGGCCTGACCTCCTCCCAGTGGAAACCCAGGAGCCATGGATGCAGTGGAACTGGCCAGAAAGCTGCAAGAGGAAGCCACATGCTCCATCTGCCTCGACTACTTCACCGACCCTGTGATGACTGCCTGTGGCCACAACTTCTGCCGTACCTGCATCCAGACCAGCTGGGAGAAGGCAAAAGGCAAAAAAGGGAGGAGGAGACAGAAGGGGGTCTTCCCCTGCCCAGAGTGCAGGGAGATGTCACCCCAGCGGAACCTTCGGCCCAACCGCCTGCTAACCAAGGTGACTGAGATGGCACGGCAGCACCACGGGCTGTGGGAGTGGGACCTGTGCCCAGCACACCGGGAGCCCATCAAGCTCTTCTGCCTGGAGGACCAGAGCCCCATCTGCCTGGTGTGTAGGGAGGCACAGGCACACCGGGAACACGGGGTGTTGCCTGTAGAGGAGGCCCTACAAGAGTATAAGGTGAGGGGCAAAGGTCAGAGGCTGGGGAGGGGCTAAGGGACAAGTGGCCCTCCACCAGGGTTCTGGAGGCCCCATGGACAGACGTGTTTGTTTGTGAGCTGTATTACCCGGAGGCAGGACCCTACCACAGAAAGGCACTGTGGCTCCTAGGACGGAACCTGGTGGGTGACAAGACCCCAAGACCCAGGCCCACTCTGACTCTTGACAGCTCCAGCTCTCTGAACCCTTTTCCTGGCATGGCACTGGGGGATGACTGCCCTTATGAAGAGAAGAAGAGAAAACTGAAGAGTGACAAACAAGCCCAGGGCCTCTGACAGGGTGGATAGCTAGATGGAAAAGTGACTGGAAGATGAAGGCCTATTTCATAGGGTCCATTTGTACAGATTTCTTGGTTCAGGCTCTGTCCTCAACCATGAGGACAAGTTGTTTCTTTCCTGGTACAGCTTGCATATAATGACTTTCCTCCCAGCTTTTAGGAAGACAGTGGGCAGGAGAAAGACTTGTAGCTGTAGGGTTTTTACAAGTGGTCAAAATAACTCAATGCTGAAGCGATGTACATTTGGGGGTGCTGTATCCCAAATGTGTTTTGAGCGTGTTCTGAACTGTTTCATTGGCAGAAGGGCTTGTTTGGGGTGGTACGGCTGACCCTCTATGCTTACTTACCATAGTCTTTGGGGTTGATGTAGCCTCAGACACCATAATCCAGATTCTGGCAGGAGGTGTGGTGGGTATGCCTGGTCCTGAATCCTGTGGTTCTGTGTGCCCACAGCTGAAGCTGGAGGAGGATATGGGGTATGTGCGGGAGGAGGTGAAGAAGACAGAGAAGCTGCAGGCCAAGGAGGAGCAGGCCTTAGCCCAGTGGCAGGTAGTCCTCCTCAGCCCCTTTCCAGCCCTCTTCCCTTGTGGGGGAGATGCCAATAAAGGTGTCCTAGCCTTCAACATTCCCCCTTATAGCACCCCTACTGCAGATGGGAGAACATTTCCTCAGACTTTGTGGGCTCAGAGGCTGGTAAAGAGTTAAAATGACACAGGTGAACAGGAAAAAAAGGTGGTTTTTAATTATGTTGGCACACGGGTTTGGGGAAGCTTCACACAAACATGAGATTCAGACAATGGAGCTTTCTGGACCATCAGAGGCTTAGCAGAGACACCATGTTGCCCAGGCTGGTCTGGGACATCCTGGAAGTGCTGGAGCCCAGGCCACTACCACACCCAGCAAAGGGCTTAGTTGGTTTTACTTTCAGTTCTAGAATCAGGAGACCCTTGTTCCACACAAGATGGCAAGTGGGATGAGAAGAAAAGATGGGCTTCAAAGACAGAAAGAGCTGCAGTGATCAGAGTCATAGGAAGCAGGTTGTCACTTCATAGTTGGCATCTTGTGAAGGCACAAACAGGGAGAACAACAGGAAACAGTGATCAAAGAGCACCAGGTTATCCCAGGTTACTTCTGAATAAGGCTTAGCTCCATGATCCACTGGAAGTGGCCAGGAGTTGTCTCTAGTCCTGGATTCTGGAAGCTTAACAGCTCTGGGACCTCTCTTCTGACTTCCCACCTGGTATGCAGGGGACCAGGGCAGGAGTCTAATCCAAAATAGTGGCCTCCTGTGGAACATTCCCAAGTGGCCCTCTTTGGGAGGGGTCCCTGAGTCTCACCAGTACCAAGGCACATAAATGTTAGGGCGTTGGACATTGCCTCTTGAGGCCCAGTACATTGCTCCTCTGAGAAGCCCCTAGTTTCTACCTAAAGCTCCCAACCCTGACCTGAGTTCTGTGGGCCCACAGGGGCCCAGGGAGTGCACTGTGACCCAGAGCACTGCTGTCCTGTGCAAGGGGCCACATCTGATATGGATGTGGGGTCCCTGCACCCACAGGACAGAGTGAAGGCCCGGAGGGAGAGGATTATGGTGGAGTTTGAGAAGGTGGCCCTGTTCCTGGCAGAGGAGGAGCAGAGACTCCTCCAGGCCCTGAAGCAGGAGGAGGAGGAGACAGCAGTGCAGCTTCGAGACAGCAAGGCCACCCTGGATCAGCAGCGCCGCTCACTGGACTTATTGCTGTCACAGCTGGAGGATCGGAGCCTTTGGGAGCCTCTGCAGATGCTGCACGTAAGGCTGGCCACCCCATGAGCTCTGCCTCAGAAGGAGGCATAGGAGAGCTGTGGCCGGGTGCATAGGACAGAGGAGTGCAGCCCAATAGAAGGGTGGGGGACCATCCCATTCCCAAATTTCTCAGGCCAGAAGCATCTCAGATTTCAGATATTTTTAGATTGGTGATATCTGCATAGACATCATGAGATATCTTGGGCCTGAGACCTGTTTTTTAATAGGAAATCCATTTCTGTCTCATATACCAAGCTGGTTTATCTGGTTATCTGGTTTCTTTACTGTGCCTGCATTTTGATTGCAACTTTCCCAGAGCTGGGGTGTGGGATGTTGCAGCCTTACTCATCAGGTCAGCCTTCAAAAAGTTTCAGATTTTGGATTATCGATCTCAACTCTACTGCAGGCTGAGAGGGTTAAAGAACAGACCTTGATTGTGTAGAGTCCTGAGGGCTTCAGGCTGAGAACAGGGTGTGGTAGGGTTGATCCTTCCTGTCCTCACAGGGCCACCTTCCACATGTATGTGTGCCCTGATCTCCTCTGATGGGGACACCCTCAGGTTGGAGTCCAAACTACCTTAATGAGTTCACTTGGCCTAAGCCAGCCTTTTGAAGGCCTCTCAATCGTGATGATTCAGCCTGACCATGGTGCAAAATAAATATGTTTTCAGTGGAAACAACTTCAGGTTTTGAATTTAGATCTTTCTGGGATAGCAACAGGTAAAACATGCTCCCATCCAGCACCACTGTCCAAAAGTGCTATCCAGCTATGCTAGGATGCAGTTCAGCTAAGCTAGTCAGGGCCCTTAGGCACACCTTCATCTTTTGAGGTTTTCAAATTCTAGTGAGTTTATCAGCACCTAACTCCATTTGAAATGGAGGATCATGTGTACATCAATGAGATTCTGGGGGTTAGGACCTATGCGTTTGGGCAGGGTAAGTTTTGGAAAGGACAAAGCACAGCAGGGCCACTGAACATCCTAAGCCCCATGCTGCTTCCAGGCCAGGTATTAATGTGCTTGAGAACTGCCCATTCCCAGAGTCCCTCCAAACCCAGGGCCCTTGAGCTTTTATCCCCAAACCTCAGTCAATTTCACTCCAACCCCCATTTCTCTATGACAGCTCTGTGCATCTGGCTGATCTGCACCCATGTCGTACTAAAAAAGGAGGAAGCTCCCCCTTATCCAGTCTTACTTTCCAAGGTTTCAGTTGCCCATAGTCATCCTCAGCCACAAAGTACTAAGTAGAAAACTCCAGAATTAAATAATCATAAACTTTAATTTGCATGGAATCTGAGCAGTGTGATGAAATCTCAGCATCCAGCTGCACCCCAGCCACTCTGATCAGTGATCCACACCAAACCCACACTCTGTCCACTACTCACTCAGCCACTCAGTTACCAGGTGAACAGTGCCAACATCTGTAGTAGCTTCTTCATCAGAAAACAACCCCAAAGTGAAAGAGTAGTGAAGCTGGTAATTAAGATAAGGCAAAGAGAAGCTGCAAAAGATTTAAGGGAAAGGAGAACAGCTTCCCTGAGCCTTCCAGCCTCCTCAGGCATCTGGCTGTGGCCTGAGGATGGACTGAGGTCAGAGTAAGCCCCAGGGACTCTTGATAGATGTGGGAGCTCAGATTCTGGTTGAAAGGACACTGTCCCAAAGAAATGGACAATAGAGATGGCTTTAAGAATGACATGGTGGGAGTAGTTGAGACCTGAGCCCATTCCTGTTCTCCTCTCTGTCCTCTGCAGGATATGAAGGAAACCTTAGCCAGGTACAAAGTCACCAGCAGTGGAGGTGGTGGCAGAGGTGGGCCTGGGAGGGCTCCATGTGGGGCCCGAAGGAACAGTGAGTCTGTGTCCCCTGGAGGAAGCACAACCTGAGAGTGCAGTGCCCAGAGGTGGCTGTCCCTACGGTGGTCAGGACTGTATGCAGGGTTCCTGGGCAGAGAGACATTCTCCGGGGCTTCCAAGGTAAGTGGGGAACTCCTCTTCCCCCAGATGGCACATACCTGTGGGGCCTTGAACTGCACTACCCATCGACTGGACACTGAGCTTGTGTTCCATATGAAGTTTTCTTCCTCCCTCCTTCTGCTGGATTAGGCCTATGGTCCTCTTCATCCTCACTTGCAGCCCCACCAGCAGCCATGGATAGCTGGAGCATGGGCCTATGCCCACTCTTCCTGGGCTACTTAGGGGAAAAGGGTCCCTGGGGGAATGGCAGCCAGAGGGGCCATTAGCTCCCTCCTGCCCTACCTCTGATCCTGACTGGCCCACTTCTTGCCTGGCCCCATCTGCAGAGGAAGTGATGCCGGACCCTGCCTCAGCATATCCCTACCTCCTCCTGTATGAGAGCTGCCAGCGGCGATACCTCAGCCCCCTGCCGGAGGCCAGTGCTGCCTGCAGCAGGGACCGGTTCCTGGCCTACCCCTGTGCCGTGGGCCAGCAAAGCTTCTCCTCAGGGAGGCACTACTGGGAAGTGGGCATGAATCTCCTTGGGGATGGCCTCTGGGCCCTGGGCGTGTGTAGAAACAATGTGAGCAGGAAGGACAGAGTGCCCAAGTGCCCTGAAAATGGGTTCTGGGTGATACAGCTGTCCAAGGGAAAGCAGCCACTATCCCCAGTGCCCACCACCATGCCTGTCACCCTCACTGAGCCTCCTAGCCACATAGGCATTTTCCTGGACTTTGAGGCTGGTGAGGTGTCCTTCTACAGTGTGAGCGATGGGTCCCACTTGCACACCTACTCCCAAGCCACCTTCCCTGGGCCTCTGCAGCCGTTCTTCTGCCTAGGAGCACCCAAGTCTGGTCAGATGGTCATCTCCACAGTGACCATGTGGGTGAAGGGGTAGCTTGGATGCGCCAAGAAAGTCATCTGCAGCACGCGGATGGGGTACTTTCTCCAAACAGAATCTCAAAGTTGTGAAATGTTGAGACTACATTGACAGGTGCTTTTTAAAGAACACTGGAAAGAAAGGCAGACCCTCCCAAGGGGTCAATTTCTAAATACACAGCTGCACCCTAAGCACAGTGTGGCCTAATTTATTGTTTGTTTTTGCCATACTGGGGCCTGAACTCAAGAGTTTTTGCACTGAGCTACATTCCTTCATTTTTTATTTTGATTTTTTAAAAAATGCATTTAGTACAGGGTCTACAGAGTCTCACTACATAGTTGGGACTCATAGTGATTCTCCTGTTTTCAGCCTCCCCAGCGCTGGGATTACAGGTTGCCCACCACACCCAATCTCAACGGCGGCCTAGCATGGCAGGCTGGGGATTGGGGGAGGGGGGCTGCGCTCTGCCTAAGCAGGTGCTTTAGTCCATTGAGCTATCTGGCTGGCCTCATTTTGTATTTTGAGACAGCCCCTCACTAAGTCACTAGCTAACTTGTCCGGGCTGGGTTTGAATTTGCAGTCGTCCTGCTTCAGCTTTTCAGAGTGCTGGGAATGTAAGTGCACCATCACCCTAGCATAGTATGGACTAAATGGGTCCTTAAGAGGGTGCGCTGAACCCTGAAAGAGCCACACCTGGCCTCCCCCAGCCCCTTCAAGCTGCATGTGAAGAGCAAAATCCAAACACTGGTGAGGATAATTCGGGAGTCTCCTCTCCCCTAACTCCAGCATACGTTGCGAACAACCCCCACTCCAAGAGGCCCTTGCTCCTAGCACCTCGAAAGTCCAGACTAAATGCACCCCTTTCCTAGGCCGGGGCTTCCCACTGACAGAATTGTGGCCCCACAGAGCAGCCCGCATTCCAGGATGCGCAAATCCCGCAGGGCACGGACGTGGAGGGTAAAGGCGCCCTGGGATTGTCCCGGTTCTAGGCGTCTGGGGGAACCGCGCCTCAAGCCTCACCCGGCGCTCTAGTCCAGTGCCGGATGCGCGCTAGTGTTTCTCCTGCGGCGCGCCGCGTGACCCGCCGCGACCAATCCAAGACATTAGCGGGTCGTTACAAAAAAAAAAAAAAAAAGCGCTTCCGGCTTCCGCTGAGGTTCTTCTTCCTGCCGGCGTCCGAAACTTGCACCCTCTGGATCCTTCGTCCCGGAGTTCGGGGCCTGGCTCTCGCCATGGCCGCCCCCGACCTGTCCACCAACCTCCAGGAAGAGGCCACCTGCGCCATCTGCCTCGACTACTTCACCGACCCGGTGATGACTGACTGCGGCCACAACTTCTGCCGCGAGTGCATTGGGCGCTGTTGGGGCCAGCCCGAGGGTCCCTACGCGTGCCCCGAGTGTCGCGAGCTGTCCCCGCAGAGCAACCTGCGCCCCAACCGCCCGCTGGCCAAGATGGCCGAGATGGCGCGGCGCTTGCACCCCCCGTCGCCGGTCCCGCAGGGCGTGTGTGCTGCGCACCGCGAGCCGCTGGCAGCCTTCTGCGCCGACGAGCTGCGCCTGCTGTGCGGCGCCTGTGAGCGCGCGGGCGAGCACTGGGCACACCGAGTGAGGCCGCTGCAGGATGCGGCTGAGGAGCTAAAGGTGCGTCCAGTGAGGGATGCGAGGGGTAGGGAGTGCGTGGGGGGGCCGGGAACGGGGTTCGGAGAGCGTTGAGGACCGGCTGCTGAATACACCATGGGTGCCGGGCCTAGGTTGGGGCTTTAGGCACAGTTCGGGGCTGAGCGTCCACCAGCCAGGGAAGGACACAAAGTCTGCCCTAAGCAGAGACTTGAGTGCTCCCTGTCCTCACCCTGTGCTGCAGAGGCGAGGGTAGTAAGGATGCTGGGACTCTGCACTTCCCAGCAGGGAAGATGCAGTGGAAGGTGGAGGAGACTGGGTAAGCGTGTCAGCCACGGGTCTGGAAGGAGCTCCGGCTGGAGAAGTGTAAAACGGCGCTCAGAGTAGCTGGCCCTACAGGGACTCACAGAGCATCTGTCCGTACTGAGGGTTGTGGGCAGTGACCTACCTTGGGACCAGGACTTGAGTACTGGGGAGGCTCCTATAAGGGCTGTGCTAGAAAAGTGGAGACAGAGCCAGGGTTGTGCTGGCTCCGTGTGGGAACTGGGAGGGGAACCTCTGATATCGGAGGTGCCACCCACCTTCTTTGCTTAGAAACCAAACAGACTAGAGAGCCTGGGCCCAGTCCTGCCAATGTACGGTAGCTTTTCTTCTCCATGCTGGGAAGAAAAGTGTCACCGCACTGAACCTCCAGCCCATAAACTGCGCAGGACCTCCGTTTGCATTACACCCAGTTGTGAGCTTTGGGTGAGAAGTAGGTCAAATCAACACATTGCCGTGGCTGTAGCTGAGCAGGAACTTCTGAATGTACATCGTAACAGTAACATCCTTTGTCTTGAGTTTAGCACGAGGTGGCTTAGACGCAGGCAACTGGCCCTGTAGCATGCAGTGCCATCCACACCCCAGTCAGCCAGCCTGCCAGCTCACCTTCCCACCACCAGGAACCAAAATGGGTGCAGAAAGTGCTAGGAGCTCCCAGAGCTGACTCAGGAGTCTCATAGGACAGCACTCCACCCTTTCTGTTTCAGGAAACAAGAAATTTCTCTTTCATTTTGTTGTGTTTATTGTCTGGGGTCTAAAAATTAAGCTGACACAGGACACTTACAGAAAAGTTTTATTAATATTTTAAAGTTCTTATAAACAGAGGTTTCACAGAAAAAGAGGGAAAGATCCAGAAACACCATTAGATTTGGGCTCGCCTGCATATCCAAATGCCTGGCTTGTGCAGCAGGCACCTGGGGGAGAAAAAAGGGGGGGGGGGGGTAGAGGACAAGTGGAAGGGGGAGGCAAAGGAGAACCCAGACCTGCCCAAGACAAGACCCTGGTAACCAAACTCCTGGCCATACCGAGGGTAGGGATCAGTTTTGATCTATCTCACTACCATACAGAGATGCATCCCACTGGAATTCACCCTGTCAGAGTGGGTCCATTCTGGCTTTTATGTCCTAGTCTGTTGTGTTGTGTTTTTGTTTCACTGTCAGTACTGAGTATTGAGCTCAGGGCCTTTGCACCAAGCTTGCATCTACAGCTCATTTTTTTTTACTTGGAGATAGGGTCTCATTGAGTTCCTCTGTTGTCCAGGCTGGGTTAGAACTTTCGATCCTCTTACCTTGGTCTCCAGAGTGCTGGGATGATAGGCATGCCATCACCACACCCAGATCCTACACCATTCTTTAAAATGCTGTTTGTGATCCTTGGCATTGAAAATGTTTAACTGGAGAGGTAGAGGTGTTATCGAGAAGCTTGTAGATGCTAGGCTGAACGTATACATGGTGTCAGAATAGGGGGCCAGGCTTGCATTTCCAGGTTAGGAGGGCTGAGGACAGCGACCATAGCCTGTGTTAGAGCTGATCGCAGGTTGGATGACAGGCTGGGTGGGCTCCCTGTGCCAACCAGCAGCCTCAACCTTGCTCACTGTACAGACTTCAAACCCCTACACCTTGCCTGGCCAGACAGTAAATGGAAATGATAGGTGTGGCCAGCACAGGGCCTGTGAGCTGGGAGACCCAAGCAGAACCATGAAATGGGAATGAGAAAAAGGAATCCAGAAAGAATAATGCAGTCGCAGTAAATGCTTCAGGGCTGGAGAAGAGACCGGGTGGGATGCCCCAGGGTGGGGATGGGAGGCAGTATGGGACAGACCCCCAGCTGTGCCCTTTTGAGTCATGGGTGCCACTAAGTCCTAAGGCTGGAGGGCAAGGTTGGAACTGAAGGTGTCATCTTGGTGTGGCCTTCTGTGGAGCAGGCCAGGGGGTCTCAGACATCTTAGCTTGCAAGCCTTGCCTCCTAGCACCATCTCCTTGGGGTGGGATTTCTGCCTAGGAATTTAGCAACAATGGCATTAGAAGCTATCTCCTATGCTACTGACTGGGGGAGGTTGCATGGAAAGGGGAGTGCTGGGGTCTTCAGAGCCAATTTGGGCAAGGTTGCTGGGTGCTCGTGGTGGGCTCACAGCTCTGTCCCCACTGTATCCCCAGGGGAGACTGGAGCAGTCACTTGAGCACCTGCGGAGACAAATGGAGGATGCACTGCTGTTCCAAGCCCAGGCTGAGGAGACCTGTGCCTTGTGGCAGGCAAGCACTCCCCTAGAGTCCTGGATGACAGGTGCAGTGGGCAGGGCAGGAAGAAGGACTCCCCACTGGTGTCTACCTGGGACCAGCAGACCCAACAAGGCCACCTAGCGTGGGTGAGAGGAGAGAGGCCAAGTGTGTGAGGGCGCATATGAGCATGTGTGCTTCAGAGATTCTGCCTACAAGTGTCCATCCTGGAGCCTGATGTGCATGAAGTGCTGGATCTGGTGTAGAGGAACCAGGCATGGAAGTCCAGGGGGGTGGTATGGGTGAAGGACAGAGGTATTAGACCACAGTGGGCCATGTGGAGCCAGCATTGGGGGGGGGTCCCAGGTTGTGTGGGTGAAGGACAGGTATTAGACCACGGCGTGCCATGTGGAGCCAGCGTTGGGGGGGGG